GACACGCTGCTCCCCCATTTTTAGGTTTCTGGAGGAAATCAAGAAAACTCCTGCAATAATTGTGATTCTCTTCTTCTTCTTCTTTTTCTTCCCCAAGCATTCTTCCTGAATGTTATTTCCATATTCCTCAATATGGCATTTCTAATATAAGGATTCTTAAAATCTCCCTTAACTTTGCCATAACGTAGAAAACCATGTCATCTAAACTTCCGGTCGTGTTCTTCCAATTCTAAAATTCTTTTATTTCTCAGCAAAACCTACTCTTTCACCTAAACTAAGTTGTAGGGTGCGAAATAAAATTTCGAATCAGGCAATCCCAGTCCTCCTTGTTCCTTTGCACCCTGAAGTAGTATTTCATAATTAATCCATTTTTCTCCTCTTGCCATACAAATTTAAAAATATCTTTCTGCCTTTGTTTAAATGGTACCTCGGATTTCAGAATAGATATAGTTTGGGGGGGGGGGGAAATCATCCTTAGCAAAATATTCACTCCAGTGACAATTTCTCCCACCTTAATATGTCCTCCTTAAGTTTACTCCATCTCGTAACATAATTCTGATATAACATAAATTTCAGATTAGTCATAGTGATAGCCAAGTTTTTCAATTTTTTCTCAATCTTAAAACCACTTTTCCCCATCATTTCCATTTGCTTTTGGATGCTTATATTCGTTAACATCTTCATCTTTCGTTCTAATTTTAAAGATAGCTGTTAAAGTTAAAAGAGTGTTATTGTGCTGTTGGAAGAGATTTTTCTTTTATCAGATGGCTTAAAATCTTTTGACTTTGAGTAGAGGGAGGCAAAGAGGAATGAATGTTTGGGATGAAAAAAAAAAAGAAAAGACGAAAGAAGGAAGCATTCTTCATTTGAGCATTGTCTGGAAGTGCCTTATTGAAATTGTCTGCACATAACAGATGGTGCATGTGGCATTCCTATTTTGACATCTACTTTTATGTCAGATCAAAGCAGTAAAAATATACACTCCTTAAATATTCTACTGGGCAGATTCTTATATTAGGGAAATTATCAAGTGTTTTTCAGTTACATCAGGGGTCCTTAACCCTCGGTCTGTGGACCGGCAGCGGTCCACAGGCTGTTGGTAACCGGTCTACACAAGCAGAGGGCGAGTGCATAAAGCTTCATTTGTGCCTGCACAGGACCTAAGTGCGCATCCACAGGATCTAGGTTGCACGCATGAAATCACCCCCTCCCCCCACCAGTCCATGGAGCCAGAAAGGTTGGGAATCATTGAGTGACACGCAAGGAATATTGTTGAGGGGCAGATGCTAACTGAATAGTTTTGATAACCACACTTCATATCTCAAGTTATGTTGCATAATCCTTAGGTCATCCTTGCCAGAATTAAATTTAAGAGGACAGAATTTAAAAAAGTCAAGACTAAGGGAGCCGATATTTGTCATATTCTAACAAGTTCATATTAACACACAACCACACCTTTTATAACTATGTGGAATACTTTCTTAATATTTTGACCTGAGTTTTGCATAAAATCTTATCCTCCGATTAAGTCACTTAATTTTTCAAGAGAGGAACCTGAGAGAGTGAAAGATAGGGAGAAGCACAGGGAGATTATGAGTCTCGTTATATTCTTTAATATAACTCCGGTACGCCTCCTCCAACCCAAAAAAATGTATAGATCTCAGTATAGCAAAGTATTCTATGAAATATATGTATCCAGAACTCAATAAGACCACTACCGAACTTAACAGCTCAGTAAAAGTTATGCATTTAAGACTAAATAATACAGTTTTTACAAAGTTCGTTTTTCATGTATATGTCTACACAGATACTTAAGCAATATAACCAAGGGGGTTTTTTTTCTTCCTGTTTTGCATGTTATCATTTAAAATACATAGCTGTTTCTAAGATACTTGCAGTAGTGGGGAGGGGGTCTGTAGTTAATGGCTAAAAAAAAAAGACTCTGGCACTAGACCTTTCAGCACAAATCTCAAATGCAAGAGTGATGCTAAGCTTGCATTATGGGTAAGTCTTCCTTGGCACCTTTCCAAGAGAATTGTAGCTTTTGTGCAGGGCTCTCTTGGGGGTTTAGTCACCCTGGTTTCCATTTTTTACCAGGGCTGGGTACCTATTCTCAAGAACCTTCAGGCTTCGGGCCAATACTTTGTTTTCACACTTATGGTCAGGCTGAGAAGTGAGTTACCGTAGGTAGGTGGAGCCTATTTACACCAAATCCTCTTACTTGTAATCTCTTGTGGGGGAGGGGGGTGGGTGGGAGACAGATTAACCTTTTTTTTTCATTGCAGGGGTGTAATCTCTTTCCATGTATGGAGAGGGTAAGGCATTCTTTCCCCTTTCAAGGAGTCACTGATCTTGCCCAACTTGTTTTGCTACCATAAATAGTTTGCTGGATTACTTAACCTGATATCAAAAAAAATCTACTGTGTTTCACACAGTGCGCACATCTGCTCTGAGGGTTCAGGTGTGGTAACAACCTCCTGCTTTTCTGAAAATTGGCTAAAGAGGATTTTCTCTTGTGGGGGTGGGTGAAACATCAAGGTTTGTGGATAGAAGAGAACACCTCAATGTTTAGAAAAATGTTATCGATGATCATGAGTTGGGATCACAGATTTACCAATTTGGATGTGTGGGTGTGGAAGGAACAACCGTCGACACTCACTCTTCCTACACTTAAGTTTGGCTGCAAGGGGGAAAAAAAGTTTATTTAAAATAATTATGTGCTTTTATATGACCTGTAATAATCTCATTCTTCATTTTGGGCCACAGTCCAGCTTTATTTTTTTTCTTAGAATACACAAGTCCAATTTAATGTGCAAGAAATTAATGATAAAAGTGCAGTGGAGAACCTGTACTTGATGTAGAGTTAGGAGTCTCAGTAAATTAGGCTCGTGGGGTTAGTACGAAATTTGCAAAACCGACTGAGCCGAAAACATGCTGAAGATGAAAGAAAAAAAAAATAGCAGAAGAGGGAGAAGTAATACGGATAGTTTTTGACTTACAACAGTTCACTTAGTGACCGTTAGAAGTTACAACGGCACTGAAAAAGTGACTTATGACCATTTTGCACATTTATGGCCATTGCAGCATCCCGTGGTCATGTGATTTGCATTTGGATGCTTGTCAAGTGACATTTATGACAGTTGCAGTGTCCCCCGGGTCACGTGATCCCCTTTTGCGACCTTATGACGAGGAAAGTCAATGGGGGAAGCCAGATTCACTTAACAGCTGTGTTACTAATTTAAGAACTGCAGTGATTCACTTAACAACTGCGGCAGGAAAGGTGAAATGGGGCAAAATTCACTTAACAACTATCTCACTTAGCAACGGAGGTTTTGGGCTCCATTGTGGTTGTAAGTCGAGGACTACCTGTAATCATCAGAAATTGTTTTGCCAAAAGCCTAAAGAGGTGCTCTTAAGATTCTGACAAATTAAACTTTCATTTTAAAAGATTAAACTTTTAATCTTTTCTTACCCCCTGGCAAAGTCAGTTACTCAAGGCTCACATTACAGGGCCTGTTCGGTGCAGTAAAGGGATCAAGTTACAAATCAAGAGACAATGAGTTCTAAGTCCTAGCTTAGGTACAAGGACAGCTGGTTGACTTTGGCTGATCCTCTCAGCCCTGGCAGAAAAAAGGCAAGGAAAAAACCCACTTCCCCCAAACCTTGCCAGGAAAAAAAACACTTCAGGGATTTGTTCAGGCAGTCACCAGGAACCAAAAACTGATTTGAAGGCACCCAAAAGTGGGGGGGGGGGGAGAAAGTCTCACAATAACTAGCGGAAAGAAATTCTAGATACCTTTTTCATTGGCAATCATGCACTGAAAAAAATGAGATTTGTCTAGAAATGGACACGTCTTTGACCTTACATTAAATATCAGGGATACCTCAGTCTATTAGTTTACCATTAGTAAATTGCCAGTGGCCTTAAACAAGAGGGTAGATTTTAGATCAGGGGTCTTCAAACTTGGCCCTTTTATGACTTGTGGACTTCAACTCCCAAAATTCCTCAGCCAGGCATGCTGGCTGAGGAATTCTGGGAGTTGAAGTCCACAAGTCATAAAAGGGCCAAGTTTGAAGACTCCTGTTTTAGATCCTCTTCTTTCTCTTCCCCCCCCCCCCCCAATTTTAATTTTTGATAGCCTTGGTTAAACAGGTTTCTCCCACCTTGAGAACCAAGCTGAGTACAATCAAGTCAGTCACCTGAGTGACCCAATTTACAACTGTCACGACATATGACCATGATAAGCAGGCTGCATTATGGTTGTAAGTCAAGGACTACGTGTAATGTGTAACTGGAGAAGTGAACTGCATATAAAATCAGTGCATCTTTCAATTAATGAAAATGCCCAGTTCTTGGAATGACGGAGAGAGATCTAAAGATGTTTTTTTAAAAAATTCATTTTGTTAAAATGATGCAAAAGGCTAGCGCTGTAGTGCAGCACCTTTGAATACATTCAGAAATGATCAGATGAAAAGTTTTTGAGAGATATTCGGTAGGTTTGAAGGCTAATTGCATTCAAGAAGGAACATTGCAAATATAAAACTACCAAGAAAATATCTTGGCTCCTGTAGCCTAATATTTCTACCTCTTTGATGACCAAAGAGGATTTGATAGTTTAGAGAAGGAGCCACAGTGACGCTCTGTTTATTTCAAGATATTGAAATGCCTCTTTTCTCTGAGCTTTCTTAGTCGTGGAGGCAAATTACAAATTTCAGTTTGCAAGGAGTCCTCTTCAGGTAGAAATATTTGAAAGAAAGAAAGAAGAAAAAAGCAAAATCTGAAAAGGTTATTCCAGTTGTGTCAGTTGTGCAAGCTTGCACATAAACCGTCTGTTTGCTTTAACTTTAGAAAGGTGCACAAAAACACACACCTCCCCCTACATCAAACAAGAAAATTGATATTCCTGTTCATGGATTAGAGTGAAAAGGCAGGCACTGAAAAAAAAAAATCTGTGCAATTGATAATCTTTGCAAAATCTGTGCAACCTGAGCAATTGTGGAAGCAGGATGCTAATAGCTGGAGTAGGACCATAAAGTTAGTAGGATACCTACATCCAGAAGGTCCCAGGATCAGCCCCCGGCACCTCCTGTTGAGCAGCATCAGAAAGGAAATGAGGAGAAAGACGGTCCTGAAATTCCAAAAGCCGAATCCCGGGGCTAGCAGGGCTAGGCTGGAGGGGGCTGGATGGACCAATGTTCAGATTTGGTACAGGTAATCCTCGACTTACAACAGTTTGTTGCTTGAAATTACAACAGTACTGAAAAAAGTAACTTACGACCATTTTTCACACTTACCACCATTGTAGCATCCCCATGGTCACGTGATTTACATTCGGATGCTGGAGAACGTGACTCACTTTTATGACAGCTGCAGTATCCCGAAGTTGTGTGATCCCCTTTTGCGACCTTCTGACAAGCAAAGTCAGTGGGGAAACCCGATTCACTTAACAACCGTGTTACTAATTTAACAACTGCAGGGATTTGCTTGACAAATGTGGCAAAAAAGGGTCATAAAATGGGGCAAAGCTCACTTAACAAATTTCTCACTTAACAACATAAAAATTTTGGGCTCAACCGTGGTTGTAAGTCGAGGAGTACCTGTATAATGCAACTCCCTATATTGGAATTTGCATCCCTGCTTGCTCCTCAATGTCTTCTCTTTTATAATTTTTCTTTTTTTAAGTTGGGTGGGATTTTCAGGAAAAAGATCTGCCTACAGTCAAATAACAAGCAGCCCAATTTCTATTTCTGTTAGCAGGTTAGGTCAGAACAGTTTTGTCTAGAAGTCTTATTTGCAAAGTAAATCCAGCTGCACCCACGCTAATATCTTGGGGTGATTTTTCCACTTACAAAGAACCTTGGAATAGGACTAGGCAGTTAACCCAGACGTGACCAAGAAGTAACGTGGCTGTGGAAAGCGCAAAATTGGTGGGAAAGCGGTCCTTTTCCATCCCATTTTCCCTACTCTTCCATACTAAAGAACCGATCTATTCACAGATCCAAAACTGCAAAGTACTATTAATTAATTAACACAGTACTATTATTAGGAAGAGTATACCCATCTCAAGATTAGATTGGCCCTAACCCTTCCAACTTTTTAGAAAGCCTTGAAAACTCACATTTGTTCCTGGATATAGGAGTGGAAGGATTGGGGGCTATGAGCTAATCATTTTGAATTATTATAGATTGGTGTCTTCCTTTGGTGATCTTTAAATATATGCTGGGCTTTTTAAAATGTCACTTATATTATATGCGGTTAGTCACCCAGAATCTCTATAGAAAAATGAGCGGCCATATAAATTGTATACAGGTAGTCCTCGACTTACAATCATTTTAGTGACTGTTTGAGGTTACAACGGCACTGAAAAAGAGTGGCTTATGGCCATTGTTCACACTTATGACTGTTGCAGGACCCCCATGGTCACATGGTCAAAGTTCAGACACTTGGCAACTGGCTTGTATTTGTGACGGTTGCAATATCCCAGGGGTTCACGCGATTCCCTTTTGCGACCTTCTGACAACCAAATCCAGATTCACTTAACAACCATGTTACTAACTAAACAGCTGCAGCGATTCACTTAGCAGTTGTGGCAAGAAAGGTGGTCAAACGGGGGCAAAACTCAACAGCTGTCTCACTTAGCAACAGAAATGTTGGCTTCAACTGTGATCGTAAGTCGAGGAGCACCTGTAAAACAAAACTTAGAGGACGTCGCTCTGCAACGCCCAACCCTGTTAGTACGACTGGCAGTTAGAAGAGTTGGTGGGAACTATCATCTGGAGCTCACCGGGTGTTGCCTTCCTTTGGCCTAGAGCAGTGGTGGCGAACCTATGGCACGCGTGCCAGAGGTGGCACTCGGAGCCCTCTCTGTGGGCACGCGCACCATGCCCCGGAGATGGCAACCGTCCTCTTCAACCAGCCGCCTGCTAACTCAGCGAGGTCCCACGTGGCCGGATGCATCCCAGCACCCATGTGCTTGCTGGCCTTTGTGTGCAGGGGCCGATGGTGTCAGGCAGCTGCTGCCCCGGCCCCTGCCTCGCCTTGCCCTTTGACATGGCACCCCCACCCTGCAGAACTAGCCTCCTGCCCATCGCCCCACCCGCCAGAGACCCCTGGATCTCCCCCAACCCTGCCCGGCCCCCACAGGCGTCCCTCCCCAGGAGCAACATCCAGCTGGCCGTGCCCACCCTGGCCACGCCCACCCATCTGCCATGACCCCTTTAGCCACGCCCACCCAGCGCCCGGCAATACATAAGTGGGTTTTGGGTTGAAGTTTGGGCACTCGGTCTCTAAAAGGTTCGCCATCACTGGCCTAGAGTTGTATGATTCTGGTTTACTCTAGGCTTCAATTGCTGACTGTTAGCCGGATTCCATCTCTTGTGTTTTCCTCAACCCTCTCCTTTTATTTTCTTCCTTCCTTCCAGGATATGGACAAGACTTGAGTGGCTTTGGACAAGGCTTTGCCGACCCCAGCCAACAGCCCCCCTCCTATGGAGGCCCTTCAGTACCACCCTCCAGTGGGCCGCCCGCAGGGGGCAGTGGTTTTGGCCGTGGACAGAACCATAACGTTCAAGGTTTTCACCCCTACCGACGCTAGCGTGCCCACCTAGAAATCAGGGAGTTCTGTCCAGAGCAGGATATCTGGTATCAGCTGAAACCCAGGAAGGCCCAGACTTATGAACTTGTGACAATCACCTACTTTACCAGAGGGGGGGAGGGGGGGGGGAAAACCACAAATGTAACATCTTTTGGAGGGGTGTTGGGGGGGAGGAAGAGGAGGCAGCTTTTGAAAGCAAAGTTGTCAGTGGTGTTTGGACTGCATTTTTTTTTAAAAGAAAAAAAAAGTCTTTTCTTTAACCCATCAGCACAAATAAAGAGTGTCACTGGTTCAAACTACAGGGTTTTAAAAAATGTCTTCAGCTTTAATTAAAAAAAAAATATCTTCAGGTTTCTTTATTTTTGTTGAAAATTTATTATTATTATTATTTTTTTTCCTGAGCCTTTTGTTTGACCATATATTGTAAACTTTTATGTTCAAAGAAGAAGAAAAAATATATACCTTTACAGATTGTGAGATTTTTAAAGAGAAATTTTCTACTTATGTATGCAGGCTTATTTTTTAATTTAAAAGAGGAAAAAAAACCACACAGGGTTTCCATTAGCACTGCTTAGAGGGTGGAGTTTTGAACCTCCTTTTGTTTAAAGTGGTTGGTCCAGAAACTGGGAGTTATTTAAAAAAAGAAGAAAAAAAAAAGGAAAAAAAAAGTGGGAGGTGGAAATAGGAAAGGGATTTTAAGTATGTCTGTTTGTCATTTTGTTACTGGTTTTGGATCTGATATAACAGTCCAGGAAGAAGAGTTGTTTGAAAAAGGGGACACCGTATCACTTCTTGAAGCACAGCATTTCAATTGAGGCTTCATGTTCTTTAAAAAAAAAAAAATTCTTTGGGGATATGAATTTCTTTAAGGGGGTTAATGGAAGCCTTGCGAAGATGTAGATTTCCCTCAGGCAAAAAAAAAAAATAAAAAAAAAATGGGGGTGCATTTTGCACTAACCAGCGATTACCCCTGGTTTGAATAAAGAAAAGTACATTTGGATTAGAAATGCAAACTTGTCTCCACTTTTTTCTTTTTTTAAAAAAAAACATGCTTGAATTTCTCGTAGGACCTTCTAAGCCGCAAGTTACTTTTGGGGGCTGAACCAGGTAGTCCTTAACTTACAATAGTTCATTTAGTGACCGTTCAAAGTTACAGCGGCACTGAAAAATGTGGCTTACGACCATTTTTCACAGTTACGACCCATGATGATGTGATCAAAATTCAGTGGCTTGGCAACTGGTTTCATATTTACGACCGTCGCTGTGTCCCAAGGTCATGTGGTCCCCTTTTTGTGACCTCTTGACAAGCAAAGTCAATGAGGAAGCCAGATTCATTTAACAGCCGTCTTACTAACTTAACAGCTGCAGTGATTCCTTTTACAACTGGCAAGGAAGCTTGTAAAATGAGGCAAGACTCACTTAAATGTCTCACTTAGCAACAGAAATTTTGGGCTCAGTGGTGGTCGTAAGTCGAGGACTACCTGGTATTGGTGGCCAAGAGCCATTTTCATATTTCCTCTGTTCTGCCACTTGATAGATTGTGCTGTATGATTCTTTCAAGCTCACATGCTGCCTGTCAGCTACTTACCCAAAATGATTCCTGCTTAGCGCTGCACACAAAAGAACAAAACACAACCAGAGAAACTTGGGATCAGAAAAGGGTATTTCCAATATCCCAAAAGTTCATCAGGCTTGAGGCCACATAACAACTTTTAAATCCACCAATTTTTAACTTTTTCAAAATACAGCCACTTCTCCCATAAGTATGCAATGGCCCTCATTGTTGACTCCATCTTGTTTCTGATAAAACACAAAGAAAGTGCTCGGATTCCCCTTTTCATAGCATGTCAATAACCAGGACATAATTGGCTTGTGTTGCAATGTTAAAATGATTTGCTGTAGGGGAGAAGATTCCAAATTTATCAATAGGATCTGCAGGTAGATGCGCTGGTGTCTGTCTGTGCAAACTGAATGGGTTATTATTTGTATATTGTCCAATTCCAAGAACTCCTGGCAAATTTACATTGTCAAAATATCAATTACTCCAAAGGGACGAAGCCACCAACCTTATCTAATGTCCCTAATCCAAAGTATGTTATTACAGATTTAAAAAATCTGTGAAACAGCCTTATCTTAACCATCTACTAACCACTAGGATGGGGAGCATCATCTGAACCTCAGCTACTCCAAAAGGATTGTCTCTAGCTATTCCCCTAGGCCTGGAAGTCAAGCTATAAAGGGCCCCCTTGTATTCTTATCACCTATTGCAGTGGTTCTCAACCTTTTTAATGCCACGACCCCAACCGGTTGTAAGTCGAGGACTAAACCGGTCGTAAGTCGAGGACTAAACCGGTCGTAAGTCGAGGACTACCCAACCGGTCATAAGTCGAGGACTTTCCCTGCCCGGGAGCGCCGCGCATGCGTGGTTCCGCCCCCTGCGCCGGCCAAGGCGTAGCTGGCAAGCGGCAGAGACGGAGCAGGCCGACCACCAGCTGGCCCAGCCCAAGGGAGGTAAGGCACCTGCTGGAAAAGGGGGAAAAAATGGCGGACAAAAAAAAAATGGCGGACAGCCTTGCTTGGCGACCCCTGTGAAATGGTCGATCGACCCCAAATGGGGTCCCGACCCACAGGTTGAGAACCACTGACCTATTGGCAGTCAGTGCAGTCCTCACACAACTAGTGTTATTTTTTTACCCTCCAGCCTGTAAGCAGCTGCATTTTGTTCCGTTTGCAGTTTCTGGATAGTCGCTCTACCCCAGAAGAGCGCTGAAGGTGTCGGCTCCTTTTGCCCAGGTGTCTCATTCCAGGAAGAGCTCCACCTGCCCACCTACCCACCACAACACCTGTGAAAGTAGAACTCCCAAGTCACAATGTTTAGATAGTCCTTGACTTAAAACAGTTCGCTTAGTGACTGTTCAAAGATACAAGCACTGAAAAAAGCGACCATTTTCACACGACATTGCAGCATCCCCACGGTCACGTGATCAAAATTCAGATGGTTGGCAACTGATTCATATTTATGACTGCTGCAGGGTCCCAGGGTCATGTGATCCCCTTTTGCCACCTTCTGACAAGCAAAGTCAATGGGGAAAGCCAGATTCACTTAGCAACTGTGTTACCAACTTTAACAACTGCAGTGATTCATTTAATAACTGTGGCAAGAAAAGTCGTAGAATTGGGCAAAATCCATACTTAACAACTCTTGCTTAGCAACTGAAATTTTGGATTCGGTGATGGTCATAAGTGGAGGACTACTCGTATTCCTCCAGGGAGAGTGCCACCCCATTCAGAGTCGCAACCGGAGCCGAAAGTGTGAATTTAGCTACTTCTTCCCAATCCAATGCATTGACAGAACTTCCATTGCATCAGTAACTCAACATAGGGTGGAGCTATATGAATATCAGCAATACACCAAGATCATATCCAAAATCAACAGTCGGACTGGTTTCATGCAGATGTTGAAATACTAGGGAAAATAAACTATGCAACTATCTGGTTGATTTTTTTTCCATTCCACCCATCAAGGGCAACTTCCATTTCAGGAAGTGGAAATGCTATAGCATAGGGTCTTTATTCTCAACCTTTACAAGCAGCCCAGAAGAATACATTGAACGATGGAATTAAAAGCTAAGAGCCCAAAAGTGGTAATGCTCAGGCACTACTGTACTTCCGAAATGGACCCTATTGTAAGATGTTGGGTGAGTCCTCTCTTCAGATCCTGCCTTGGGCAAATTTGAATGACACCCATCAGCTCAAAGAAGTCCACAGAATGATATTCCTGCTGATCCTTTTCCAAACTAGGTTTCTGGGGCATAATCTCCCGAAGCAATCAAGATGGAGAAATCTTGGTTCTTGCTACTCTTACAGTCTTACTGCCATGGTATAGGTCAGGGGTAGTCAACCTTGGCTCTTTTATGACTCGTGGACTTCAACTCCCAGAATTCCTGAGCCAGCATGGCTCAGCTTGGAAACCTCTCCCTTTCTCCTCAGCATGGCTGGCTCAAGAATTCTGGGAGTTGGAAGTCCATGAATCATAAAAGAGCCAAGGTTGCCTACCCCTAGTATAGGTTCAGTCATGAGCTTCTATCAACATTTGGTTAAGTTCATTTCTAACTTCTCTCAACTAGTACTCCATCCGTTGCTGCATTTTCTGGTAAACCAAGGCTTGGTGAACAGAGAAGTCACTAATAAAGGAGAATATTTGTAGCTCAAGAGTTGAAATGACTCCTTGATGCTCTCTGAGCTTGGTTGTTCTCTTGCAGATGTTGCATTACCCAAACTAACATTGTCAGTGCTAGTCCAAGTCTTATGTGGACTAGAAAGTGATCTAAATATGGCAATGGATGAACGACAGTGTCCTCCATCATCGGATCAAATGCCATTCACTCAGATTAAAAGTTGGCTTTGGTCTACTCATCTAGTTGCTGCCACTTAAAGCAACTAGCCATCCTACTGAATTGTAAACAAGATGTTTCTTTTTCACAGCAAAGGTCTGTCTAATCCAGGGGTAGGTAACCTTGGTTCTTTTATGACTCGTGGACTTCAACACCCAGAATTTCTGAGCCAGCCATGCTGAGGGGACAGGGAGAGGTTTCCATGCTGAGCCATGCTGGCTCAGGAATTCTGGGAGTTGAAGTCCATGAGTCATAAAAGAGCCAAAGTTGCCTACCCCTGGTCTAATCCCACATCCTAGAGGTTTTCAAATATAGATTGGACAACTGTTTAACTGGGATGATATAAGGTCTGCCTTGAGCAGGGGGTTGGACTAGAAGACCTCCGAGATCCCTTCCAATCTTGTTATTCTATGTTCATTCTTGTGTGTGCTTTATTCTATGCTTTAAGACTTATACAGGAAAACAAGAAGAAACCTGATTAGTTACGCCCTTCTATTATCTGCCTAGAAAATAATTTTCAAAGTTACTCTGTCTTTGAATCTGGAGGTACCATAAACATTTTGCAAGATTACCATAATTAGTCCAATCGAACCTGCGTGAAAACGCACAGATGATCTGTATTTCTTTTTCTGCCTTTTTTTTTACTCCGTGTTCATGGCATATAAATGCAGAAATCAATTTCTAGTGGATGAAATGCCCATGGGAATTATTGCAAATGATATAGAGCAAGTTATTTTGATCTGATCCACGTGGAAATTTACAGGCAGCAACAGGTGTCTAGGGCTTCCTTAATTCTCAAGGAGCCATTGTGATAATTTATGAGCAAAAGGCATAAGAGGTGCACCAAAGAAACTATTAAAAATAAGTAGGTCTGTAACTATTGTCATGTGCTGCATATATATAGGGAGGATATCAAAGAAGGATGCCTCTCTGATTCTTATATGCTTTAAGCTTGTAATCATCCATATACATAAATACATAAATCTTAGAAGATAACAGAAGTGATTTTGCACCATAAAAGACAACACACAAAAGAGGGCTGGTTGACTTTGGGCCTGTCACTCTTCTCAGCCCATCCCACCTCACAGATTTCTTACGGGGAAAATAAATTATATAGGGCCAAGTTCGAAGACCCCTGATTTAAACCATACTTTTGCAGTAGGCAGAAAGAATAATGTAGTGGACCAGGCAATGGTGCAATTTAAACTAGTGTTCTCATCCAATGTTTTTTCAACATGGTGGTTGGGGAATTCTGGGAGTTGAAGTCCACACATCTTAAAGGCTGCCAAGTTTGAGAAAATACTGAGCTAAAAGGTCTTCCTATAAACTCCAACCTGTGAAGCTTTTGCAAGGCTTTGAAGATCTGGCTATTTTCCCAGGCATTTAGATCACGGGGTAGAGATGAATTCTGGGGTGCATTATAGTAGGCGATTGTCTGTTTTAATCTGTCAGGTAGCAGCTGTATAAAAAGATACATTTCAGGGGAACTTCAACTCCCAGAATTCCTCAGCCAGCATGCCTGGCTGAGGAATTCTGGGAGTTGAAGTCCACAAGTCATAAAAGGGCCAAGTTTGAAGACCCCTGCAATACATAAATATATAAATAAATCTGCCACCCGTGCATGAATGCAAAAACTCTAATTAGAGTCTAATTGGCTTCTGTCATTTGGGGCTCAGAAAGACCACAGCTGAATCCAGCTTCCAAGTTTTTTTTTTCAAAATCCCGATAATAGCGCCTTAAAAATCTTATTCCAAGAGATTATTGCATAGTCCTGAATCTTTTCTAGAATTAGCATTCCGGTGCTTGAAATTATACAAATGGTCAATAAAAAAAAACATCCTTATCCCATTCGTTATGATTACTTTTCCATTCAGATAATATTGCCTTAGGGAAGAATCGAAGTGGTTAAAAAAAAAAAAAAAGAACTCAATACCGCCAAAGCAGTAACTCTACCTAAACTTCTTTGGCGAAGTCCCGCATGCGCATCACGTCCTTTCCTAACTGTGGGCGGAAGTGATCTCTTCGAAGCTCGGGGGACGGAGAGGGGGGGTGGAAAGTGGGAAAAATCGTCATTCTCGTGCGGCCGGAACTCGCGCGGCGGTTCTCGCGATATCAAGAGCCGGTCGCGCGAGAGTTCGGCCTTTTCCCGGAGAAGACTGCGGCTAAGATGGTGCGTATAATTTCGAGAGGGTTTCGCTCGGGCTTTGCAATCTGCATCCATCCGGACTGCAGAGAGAGGAAGGGCGGCCTTTGGGTCGCTTTAAGTCGTGAGAAAGGGACGAGAGAAGAGAATGAGAGGGGACGGGACGGGAAGGAGGGGGAAAATTGGGGAGAAAATGAAGAGAGATTAGCCGAAGGAATGGCTGGCGAGCATTAGGTGGGCCCAGGACTAGCATATCCTGCGAGAAACGCCGTTTGGGGTTGGGGCTGTCATAAAAGCCTCGGAACAATATGGCCTTCTAAAACAGTGTTTCTCAACCTTGACCATTTTAAGGCATGTGGACTTCAACTCCCAGAATTCCACAGCCAGCATTGCTGGCTGTGGAATTCTGGGAGTTGAAGTCCACATGCCTTAAAATGGTCAAGGTTGAGAAACACTGTTCTAAAACCTGGCTCCCTGTCTAGGGGGAATCTGGAAAAAAAGCGTTAAAAAAAAAAAAGCAGTGCCTCTGAGCATTATCAGAGTTTTCCCAAAGCCGGAAAGGAAGGTGAAGGTTGCCATAAATAAATAAATAAATTGCTCACAATGCACGCAGTTTGGATTTTGATTCCTTGGGCATTTTAATAGCATTTTTATGACTTGAACTCGCCTCTTGCCTAGGGCCCATAGAGAAGGGGAGCAGATGTAGCAAGGGTGTGTGTGTGTGTGTGTGTGTGTGTGTGTGCCTGCCTGGCCGCCTAAATTTCTTCCTTTTGGGGTATCCATCCCAGGTTGTAGCCCTCTGCGTTTTGAGGGTATTCCCACGCATTTTGTGGGTTTCCTTCCCGATTGGAAATAATAAAACGGGTTTCTGAAACGCGCAAGCCTTTGTGGAGAGGGGAAATTTGGGGGGGGGGATTGCATTCATGGTTGTTGTTTTTAGGGGGGGCGGGTGGGTGTGTAGCCAGAACGTGGATCCATTGGGGTGATGGGAGAGCCTGGCCTGTGTGCTTTTGGAGGGCAGAAGGATAAAGGTGGGAAGTTTCATGGCTCAGGACCCGAATGCCTGTAGGATCTCCTTATCCCAGTGTTTCTCAACCTTGACCATTTTAAGGCATGTGGACTTCAACTCCCAGAATTCCACAGCCAGCAATGCTGGCTGTGGAATTCTGGGAGTTGAAGTCCACATGCCTTAAAATGGTCAAGGTTGAGAAACACTGCCTTATCCCGATAACATTTGTACATGTGTGCGTATACACACACACCCACACACAACATTAAGTGGGCCCATTTCATGCTCCCTCTCAAGGACCACCAATTTCGGGAATCTTCTCAATTGCACCTTCGACATCCCTTACAGAATACCAGAGTTGGAAGGGACCTTGGAGGTCTTCTAGTCCAACCCCCTGCTCAAGTAGGAGACCCTATACCAGGGGTCTTCAAACTTGGCCCTTTTATGACTTGTGGACTTCCAACTCCCAGAATTCCTCAGCCAGGCATGCTGGCTGAGGAATTCTGGGAGTTGGAAGTCCACAAGTCATAAAAGGGCCAAGTTTGAAGACCCCTGCCCTATGCCATTCCAGACAAATGGCTGTCCAGTCTCTTTTGAAAAACCACCTACAACTTCTGGTGGCAGGCCGTTCCATTGATTAATTGTTCTCACTGACAGGAAATTTCTCCCCAGTTGTAAATTGTATCTCTCTTGGATAATCTTCCACCCATTACTTCTTGTCCTGCCCTCAACTGCTTTGGAGAATAGGTTTCAGTTTCAGTTTATTGTATTTATATCCTGCCCTTCTGGTGGACTCAGGGCGGCTTACAGCCAGTTAAAAAAACAGAGCAATTAATACAAATATACAAAATTTAAAATAAATTAAAAGATATATTTAAATAGGCCTTTTCTTATTTTAAGGGTTAGGGTTAGGGTTAGGGTTGACCCACCTTCTCTCTATGACAGCCCTTCAGATATTGGAAGACTGTTATAGTAGTAGTAGTAGTAGTAATAATAATAATAATAATAGTAATAATAGTAATAATAATAAAGTTGGAAGGGACCTTGGAGGTCATCGAGTCCAACTCCCTGCCCAGGCAGGAACCCTACACCATTTCAGACAAACGGCTGTCCAGTCTCTTCTTAAAAACTTCCCTTCATTAGACTAGACATACCCAGTTCCTGCAACCATTCTTCATATGTTTTAACCTCCAGACCATAGTCATTTTGTTCTTCTTCTCTGCACTCTTTCTAGAATATTACAATATTCTTTATTTCTTACAGTATTCTTTATTTGTCAAATTGCATGCTGCCTTAAGTGTAAAGTGAGTCTGGTTTACAAGTAGTTTTATACAAAATAGTTTGCTCCTAGGGATCAGAATGGCCTTCTCTTCCTGGTTTGTAGGAAGTCTGTTAAAAGAACTCTTCCATCAGCCCCAGAGGCCACAATGTTATGACTGGTCCCTCTGGTGAGGAATAGTATTTTAATTTTGAGTCCATTTAATAATGCAGGGGTCTTCAAACTTGGCCCTTCTATGACTGATGGAGAATCCACCATAGATGGGACATACCAAAGCCTCACTGTCCCTATGGGTGGGAAGCTTGTCTGGGCCTGTGTCCCACTATCTGGTCGCCAAAGCGAATCTATAGTGGATTCTCCATCGTCATGCTGAGAAACGGCGTTCAGGTAAGGCAACGCCCCTTTTATGACTTGTGGACTTCAACTCCCAGAATTCCTCAGCCAGCAAGTCCACAAGTCATAAAAGGGCCACGTTTGAAGACCCCTGTAGTAGTGTAAGTATCTTTTTCTCCCCACCCCTCCCTTTTCCCCCTTACTGTTTTATTCTTTGTTTATTATTATTATTTATGCAGCATTGTTTATCTGAATTTGTAATAAATGGGAATTATGTGCCACTGATATCTTTTCAGGTTTGATTGGAGAGATTAATTATCTGTAAATAAGATCATGGCTGTTAGGCACCAATGGTTTAAGAAAAAAGTGTTCTTTTTCATGTTTTGTAATGTTACAATCTACAATCATAACAATATAAAACTTAACTGAATTGAAATTAAATGGGGAAAGCACATGATAGCTTTGCCATTGCTAATCTGAGCACCAGAGTTGGACAGGCATAACAGCTAATAAGAAAATAATATGGAAGTTAATTATATAGATAGGTATGAAAATGGCTATTTAATTGAGGAATAGCAAAGGAGGCCAGAGATGAGGAATATAGAATTATGAGCACCAGAACTCATGTTGCTAAGTGATAGGACAGGGGTCTTCAAACTTGGCCCTTTTATGACTTGTGGACTTCAACTCCCAGAATTCCTCAACCAGCGTGCCTGGCTGAGGAATTCTGGGAGTTGAAGTCCACAAGTCATAAAAGGGCCAAGTTTGAAGACCCCTGTGATAGGACATCAAGTGAGTCATGCCTGATTTTTATTGCCACAGTCGTTAAGTAGATCATGTAGTCCATAAGCAAAGCCAGTTTCCTCCATTGACTGTTAAAAGCCCCCAGGAACTGGATGATCATGTTAACACAGAACGCTGCCTGCAATCATTGTAAATACATGCTAGTTACCAAGTGTCCAAATTTTGTTCATGTGTCCAGAGGGATGCTGTGGCAGATGTAGGTATGAGGGCCAGTCATAAATCACTTTTTTCAGCACTGTCATAACAAATAGTTAAACAAATGGTTGTAAATCAGGACTATCTGTACACATGTTGGTAGTGAGGTGCAGGTAGGGAAGGCTGATGGCCAGGTAATGGGCTCACAGAATAAGAGAATAACAGTTCGAAGGGACCTTGGTGGTATTCTAACCCAGGGGTCCCCGGTCCCTGGACCAGTACTGGGCCATGGCATGCCAGCAGCCGGGCCGCCCAAACAAGCAAAGCCCCATCTGCGGAATACAGGCAACACAGAAAACCATGCACCCTCCAGTCCGCAGAAAAACCTCTCCATGGAACCGGTCCCTGGTGCCCAAAAGGTTGGGGACCTGTGTTCTAGCCCAACCCCCTACTCAAGCAGGAAGCCTTATACCATTTCAGACATGATTGTCCAATCTCTTCTGAAAAACTTCCAGTGTTGGAGCATTCACTGCTTCTTGAGGCACGGTGTTCCACTGGTTAATTGTTCTGTCAGGAAGTTTCTCCTTAGTTCTAGGTTGCTTCTCTCCTTGATTAGTTTCCATCCGTTGCTTCTTGTCCTGCCTTCAGGTGCCTTGGAAAATAGCTTGACTCCCTCTTTTGGGGGGCAGCCCCTGAGATATTGGAACACTGCTATCCTGTCCCCCCTCGTCCTTCTCTTCATTAAACTAGACATGCCCAATTCCAGCAACCGTTCCTTATATGTTTTAGCCTCCAGTCCCATGAAGCGTGATTAGCCATAATTTCTTACTTTGAATACATTTCTAGTTTGAATAAATTGCACTTGACTGAAGTCACATAATTTATTAAATCATAACGCCTCATCTTTGACCAGATAAATAATAGGTTGGCGTTAAAAACAAAGGAGTGCATAGAGGTCCAGTTTACCTTACTGCTTCACCATATCTCAAGACGCAATTATCCTGTCTCTCTCTCTTTCTGCAACAGGCGGAAGTGGAACAGAAAAAGAAGCGAACCTTCAGGAAATTCACCTATCGAGGTGTTGACCTGGATCAGCTCCTCGACATGTCTTAGTAAGAACTTTTTCTCTCATTTAACCACCTCTGTTCCTTTACTTCAGATTTGGCAGCCAGCATAATATAGATACAGTCTGAATCTGTTTAGCTAGGGGATTGGGGCTTTAAAAAGTAGAAGTAGAACTCTGGAGCACAATCTGGATAAGAAGCCTTTCTGAAAATCTTGAATTGGAAGTCGATTGGAGTGGCTTGATTGGAGAGAATGATGCTCATTGCGTTATTTTTTTTAAAGTCTCACAGACAATTTAGGATGAGTTGTTGCTGTCCATCTAAGAGTGGGAAGCATTGACACTGATCCTGTCGGGCACAAAGGATCAGGACCATATGTTAAGTTGTGTATTGCTATATAAGCCTATACACAAGAATCTGGTCAGCTAAAGTTCAAATCTGCATTGGCACTAGATAAGGGTCAAGGGAATTCAAGGGGGGAGCTGGACTTGAATTGCTTGTGGCAATGTAAGGACTCTTAAGCTGATGACATACTTAACACCACCCCCAGCTGTGCCTGCTCTGCTCCTGCAGATCCCTCCCCTTCTAGGATTTGGATCTCCTTCCAAGATCCACCCAATTTCCAATGGGAAATCCTTTTCGCCATCCCACAGGGGACCCTTGACTCATTCGCATGTGATTGCGGGCGTCACTTTTGACCTGATCGGGCCTCTCTCCTCCTTTCCAGTGAGCAGCTGATGCAGTTATATAGCGCCCGCCAGCGCCGGAGACTGAACCGTGGTCTGCGCCGCAAGCAGCACTCGCTGCTCAAACGTCTCCGCAAGGCCAAGAAGGATGCACCTCCCATGGAAAAGCCAGAAGTGGTGAAGACCCACTTGCGCGACATGATCATTCTTCCGGAGATGGTGGGTAGCATGGTGGGCGTGTACAACGGGAAGACCTTCAACCAGGTGGAGATAAAGGTGAGGAATTGGGAGGGGAGGGAGAGATCCATTTTAGACTCCCCAAATGACCATGTTTCTGCAGATAAGACAAACGGATGATTAAAGCAGGGCTTTTCAACCAGTGGTATGGGTACCACCTGTGGTACATTGGCACCTGGCAGGTGGTACGCGGCCATCCTAGAAAAGTGGTAGCAGGGGAGGGGAATGAGCTGAACCGGTGGCAGCACCGCACAAGCCTGAGCGAGAGATGGCTGGAGCTGCAGGGCTGTCAGGGCTCAGCGGAAGCGCCAGGATCAGTGCCAGGCTCCAGCTGGAGCTCGGCACTGATCCTGGTGCTTCTGCTGAGCCCTGAAGAAGCACCAATCAGCTGGAAAGCAGCACTGATCCTGGCACTTCTGCTGAGCCCAGAAGAAGCGCCAGGATCAGCTGGAATGTTGCAGCATCTCCAGGGTCTTGTGATTTACATTCAGATGCTTGGCAACTGATTCATATTTATGACCGTCACAGTGTCCCAGGGTCATGTGAAGTGACCAAAACCTGCTGCAACCACCCAGCAGACGGGGGGAATAAAAACCAAACACCCCCCCACCCTCGCTGCCAATCCTCAACAGAAATGCTCACAACAATGGAAATCTCGGACAGGAGGAAGAGCACCGCCGGGCGGGCAGGCAGGTGTCTTGCTCGGCTGTCGCTTGGGGGACACTTTTTTCAGTGCCATTGTAACTTCGAACAGTCACTAAACGAACTGTTGTAAGTTGAGGACTACCTGTACTTTATCACTTTTTTTCCTTTTTTTTTTTTTTTTTTTTTTGTCATCAAGTTTTAGACACCTTGCTAGGCGACTGGTGGTACTTGGATGTTGCCATATCCTAAAAGTGGTACAATGGGTGAAAAGGTTGAAAAGCCCTGGATTAAAGAACACAGTTCCTTAACCCCTGTTGGAAGTGGGACATCAGTTGTGGCTGGGATTAGACCAGGGTGGCCATCCTGGCAACTTTTAAGTCCTGCAGACTTCAGCTCCCAGAAATCCTCAGCCAGGATGGCTGGTTGGGGAATTCTGAAGTCCGCAGCTCTTAAAAGTTGCCAGACTTGGACATCCCAGTTTAGACCTTGAACCTTTATATGAGCAAGGAAAGGGAGAAGTTATGTTAAGACAAAATTCAGTTTGAAATTATCTGGCAGCTACACCAAATCCTGGAAGGACAGAATGCCTGATTTAATCAATTTATTTTATTCAACATAGATTGCTTCAGTTGTCAACTGAGTGTCTTACAATCTCCACTCTCTATATAAACAAGAATAAGAATAAGAATTACATCAGCAAAATATAACAAGTTTGCTGTCATTATTACAACCTTTGAAATGTTTCCACTGGATCAGGGGTCTTCAAACTTGGCCCTTTTGTGACTTGTGGACTTCAACTCCCAGAATTCCTCAGCCAGGCACGCGTGCCTGGCTGAGGAATTCTGGGAGTTGAAGTCCACAAGTCACAAAAGGGCCAAGTTTGAAGACCCCTGCACTGGATCATAACAGCAAATAAGAAATTCCTAGTTTGTCATATTTGAGTGCCATACTTACCCTCCAAATTCATCACCTGTGTTGCAATACCACCTTTGGCAATAAATCTTATGAATATTGTGAGGTAGTTTCTCTTTTTATATAAAGATAGTCCTCAATTTACGACAATTCAGCTCAAAATTTCTATTGCTAAGCGAGACAGTTGTTGGGTTTTGCCCCCTTTGGCCACTTTTCTTGCCACAGTTGTTAAGTAAATTACTGCATTTGTTAATAACAACAGTTGTTAAGTAACAGATTTTGCCACTTGACAATTATTAAGTGAATCTGGCTTCCCCATTGACTTTGCTTGTCAAAAAGTGATCATGGGACAGTGCAACTGTCATTAATATTAGACAGTCAGAACAATTAACCAGTGGAACAACCTGCCTCCAGAAGCGGTGAATGCTCCAACACTGGAAGTTTTTAAGAAGAGACTGGACAGCCATTTGTCCAAAATGCTATAGGGTTTCCTGCCTGAACGGGGTGGAACTGGATGACCTCCAAGGTCCCTTCCAACTTTATTATTATTATTATTATTAATATGAACCAGTTGCCAAGCATCTGGATTTTGATCAGGTGACCATTGGGATGCTGTAACAGTTATGAAAACTGGTCATAAGTCACTTTTTTCAGTGCTGTTATAACTTTGGACACTAAATAAATGATTGTAAGTCAAGGATTACCTGTACTTTATTCTGAAGCTAATGAGTTTTTTTGCATTAACAGAAAAAAGTGCTTTGGCATTCCTTTTGTATCCCTCATGCAAATTTGCTGCCTAATTTATAAAACTACTTTTCTCCATCTTCTTGAAAGATTCACCTTTCCATTATATGTTTCTTGGAAACAAAATGTGCTTTTTTTTTCTCCTTCTTTCAGCCTGAAATGATCGGCCATTATTTGGGAGAATTTTCCATCACATACAAGCCTGTGAAACATGGCCGACCTGGCATCGGGGCCACCCACTCATCTCGGTTCATTCCTCTAAAATAAGAGCGTTTTTGGGGAAGGGTATTTTTATGTGTAAATAAAAAGATTTCCCAAACAGCTGGCTGGTCTCATTTTTGGATAGGAAGGCCCCGATTCACATCATCAGTCATGCTTTTTGAGTTTGTAGGCTTTACAGTTCGTCAACGTAGTAGGTAAGAGGACGAGAACCATACTATAACGTGATTTTTTTTTTCTCCATGGGGGAAGGAATTGTAGTCAGATAAGATTTAATTTTCCTTCTACAAACAGAGGAGGCTGCCTATTTGTCTACTCAGTAGCAGCGTCATGAGAAGGAGTGCTGTTTGGCCACACTTATATTTGGGCTTGTTGTGGGCTTGTGCTACCAAAGTTCAGACCTGTGGATAGCCCTTGATTTACGACTGTGATTAGACCCTGGCATTTCCGTCGTAAGTCACGACAACTGTAGGCTGAAGCGCCCACATGACAGGCCCCCATTTTACAATTTTTTTGTAACATTAAGTAAGGGGTCTTCAAACTTGGCCCTTTGATAGCTTGTGGACTTCAATTCCCAGAATTCCTCAGCCAGGAAAGCTGGCTTAGGAATTCTGGGAGTTGAAGTCCACAAGTCATAAAAGGGCCAAGTTTGAAGACTCCTGGCATAAATCATGGTCACATGACTGGAACCTTGCAACCCACCATAAAGTTTGCATGAACTGAACGCCGAATTCCTCATCTGGATCTGGTTGGATTAACAACAGATTCACGGAGTTCTTGAAAAGTGGCACAAAAATTTCCTTTTCCTAAGCAAGACTGTTAACGTAACGGTGTTCATGTGAGTTGCGCCCCATTGTATGACTTCTTTGTCATTGTTAAGCAAATCGCTGCAATTATGTGAATCAAGCAGTCATTAAAATCCAGTTTCCCCCATTGACTTTTCTTGTTGAAAGCTGGCTGGGAGGGTCACAAACGGTGATCACGTGACCCTGGGGATGCTGCAACTACCGAAATAGGTGCCTGAACTTTGATCATGTGAAGGGATGCTGAAATAGTTTATATTTATGAGACCATTTTTTCAGCGCCCTTGTAATTTTGAACAGTCACTAAGCAAACGGTTGCAATTCAAGGATTACCTGTAATGCAAATTTCTGGCAAGAGTTTGGGCAGAAATGAAGCTTCTTGGATGAGAAGCAAAACGGCTTCGAGGAAAAAGTCTGTCTGCCTTTTGACAAAGGATCTTTGGGACAACCGTGACCTGGATGACTTGAGAATCTCCATAGACGCTAAGCCAGGATGTGATTTTCTCTGCAAGAACCCAGCTGTCCATTTTAAGGCAAAGCCTTTGATAAGTTTTATTAAGTGTGCTGCAGCTGCCAAAAAGGCCAACACAGTGATGGGCTGCATTAACAGAGGGATAGAATCAAGATCACGTGAAGTATTAATACCACTTTACAATGTCTTGGTAAGGCCACACTTGGAATGCTGGCCAGTTTTGGTCACCATGATGTAAAAAAGATGTTGAGACTCTAGAAAGTACAGAGAAGAGCAACAAAGATGATTAGGGGACTGGAGACTAAAACACATAAGGAATGGTTGCTGGAATTGGGTATATCTAGTTTAATGAAAAGAAGGACTAAGGGTGACATGATAACAGTCTTCCAATATCTCAGGGGCTGCCACAAAGAAGAGGGAGTCAAGCTCTTCTCCAAAGCAACTGAAGGCAGGACAAGAAGCAACAAATGGAAATTAATCAAGGAGAGAAGCAACCTAGAACTAAGGAGAAACTTCCTGACAGTGAGAACAATTAACCAGTTGAACAACCTGCCTCCAGAAGTTGTGAATGTTCCAGCACTGGAAGTTTTTAAGAAGAGACTGGACAGCTATTTGTCTGAAATGGTATAGGGCCGTGGTGGCGAACCTATGGCACGCATGCGACAGGTGGCACACAGCCGTCTCTGTGGGCACACATGCCATTGCCCCAGTCCTAGGCCTTCAGCTGGGTTTTATAAAACCTTTTGGCTTTAGGCAAAAAAAAAAAAAAGTTCAATCAATCAATTTCAACTTCTCATGGAAAAAAAAATCTTGCAAAGTTGGAATTGATTGAACTTTTTAGTCCCACTAGTCTGCCGTTACCACGGCAGCCACGCCCACCCAGCACCCAACGATACATAAGTGGTTTTTGGGTTACAGTTTGGGCACTCGGTATCTAAAAGGTTCGCCATCACTGGTATAGGGTTTCCTGCCTGAGCAGGGGATTGGACTAGATGACCTCCAAGGTCCCTTCCAACTTTATTATTATTATTATTATTATTGAGTAAAAACTTTAAAACAAACATACAGTGCTATATTAACAGTAAGAAACATCCATTGCAAAATAGGCTGTGATTGACGCTATTAGAATTCCACTATTCTATAGATTTAGCAAAAGTCACCTGGACCAGGGCATTTAAAATCCTGCATGGATAAGCCCACAGGCACTTTGATGGGGACGGAGCACCACAAAGTCCTGGTCTCTCAACACATTCTCCACCTTCCCTTGCAAGGTACCTTGTGCAGATAGTCCTCAACTTAACAACCATTCTTTTTACCAACCGTTCCAGGTTACAGTGGCTCTGACAAAAGGGACTTAAGAACTGTACTTCTGCCCACTGCAGCATCCCCCACGGTCACCATCAGATTTCAGGCTCTTTGACAACCTGCGTGTATTTAGCATGCAGCATCCTGGGGTCACATGGTCATCATTTGAGCTCTTCCTTTCTGGCTTCCGACAAGCTAAATCAATGGGGGGAGCTGGATTCACTTAATAACCGTGGCAAAAAAGTTGCAAAATGGGGCACGGCCAGTGGTGGGATTCAAATATGCGAACAACCGGTTCTCTGTGTGGGATGCCGCTTCCGGAAGTCCGTTCTGGGCCTGAGCAACAAAAAATTAGCTACTGGTTCTGCCGAAGTGATGTGAACCGGCTGAATCCCACCACCGAGCACGACTCGCTTAACTGCATTGCTAAAAAAAAAAACAAATTTTGGTCCCAGTCCTGGTTGTAAGTCAAGGACTACTTGTAGATGATCTCCAGACCAGACATAAGAGGTGAAGGTGAAGATTTCCAAATAATCAGACCCCCCTTAAACTGGAACCCTGTTGTAAGATCTCTTCCAGGTAAGGTCCCATTTGGAGGGTGGCGAGCACATTGAACGAAGGAGAGGCTTTCCCATTAGTGACATTTTGCAGGACGAGGTGGTTTGAAGCATTTCTCTGATTGCAAGACACACAGCAATGACAGCCACTGAGATGGAAGCCCAGGAGGTCCCAGCTATCAAGAGGCCGAATGCCTCCTTTCGGCTGGCCCCCTGGATCGTACACCGTGTGGCTTCAGGACAAGACACCGAAGGGGGGAAATCGAACGTCTCTGGATAGTGACTGTAGAGGCTGTGGAAGGTCATCACGAAGAGGCCCTCCAGAAGAGTCTTGGCCAAGAGGTTGACCAAATGCAACCTGAGCTTTAGACCATGGCTCCAGGGCTGACTCTGCCCGCCGAGGCCCTTGCCCTGGACGTCCCGGGAGGGAAACAGGAACACACAGGCTAAGCCGTGGGTGAGGAGGCTGGCTGTTTGCAACAGGAAGAGGTTGAGAGGGGAGATGGGAAAGGCTTCATCCCAACAAGCCAGGAGGCAGCTCGGCCGGGTGGAATTGCACAGCAGGTCAGCCGACTCGTCCCGCCAAACCGTCGCGGCTCCTAAGATCAAGAACCCCAGACGGAAAACGGTGAGACTGGCCAGGCTGGCTCGGCACAGCCCTGGTGCTTGATCGCCAGTGCCGCTAAGCAGAGTGGTGATCGCTTCTTTCTCCATGGCTTTTGGCTGCAATAAAATATCGCATACTGTGATTACTCACATTCCTTTTAAGATTCACAGAGATTGGTCCCCAGATGGGCCCAGGACGTAATCTGGGGGTTCTCCTGGACTTGCGACTGCTGCTTGAGAAGCAGGTGGCAGTCGTGGTCAGGAGAGACTTTACGCAACTGTGGCTTGTGCGTCAGTTACGCCCTGCTCACAGTCACCCACGCCCCAGTCAAATACACTCCATATGGCAGTGGTGGCGAACCTATGGCACGGGTGCCAGAGGCGGCACTTGGAGCCCTCTCTGTGGGCACATGTGCTGTTGCCCCAGCCTCGCCTCCCCCCACGACCCCCTCCTCTCCAGCAGCCCCCCTGAAGGAGAGTCGCCCCTGAGCGTGGCCCACGCGGAGCAGTGCAGCCAAGGACATGGCAGCCAAGCAGCGTAGACAAGACTCTGCCCTCACACCCCATTGTGCACAGTTGATGTTGCGGGCGCGGGGAGAGGGCATGGCCACCATAGTGCTGCTGAGCTGCCTGGGCGATCTGTGGCGGGCCCTGGAGGCAGTGAGTGGCCCTGCGGGCAGGTAGCGTGGGGGATGGGGGGTGGAGTGGGGGCAGGGCAGGGGGTGGAGCGGGGCGGGGCCAGTTTTTGGGCACTCGGTCTCTAAAAGGTTCGCCATCACTGCCCTATGGGGCTGCCTTCGAAAAATATCCAGTATCTTCAATTGGTTCAAAATGCAGTGGCCTGCATGATGTTGCACAAGTCTAGATTTGCACATGTGAGGGAGCTGCGTTGGTTGCACACATGCTTCCAGTCCAGTTCCAGGTGCTGGGTTGTCACCTTTAAAGCCCTATATGGCCAGGGGCGAGATTATTTGAAGGACCGTCTTTTCCTGATGATATCTACCCGACCCATGATATGTTATGGGTCCCCACCTCTAAGGAGATCCATCTAGTACAGGGGTCTTCAAACTTGGCCCTTTTATGACTTGTGGACTTCAACTCCCAGAATTCCTCAGCCAGGCACGCTGAGGAATTCTGGGAGTTGAAGTCCACAAGTCATAAAAGGGCCAAGTTTGAAGACCCCTAATCTAGTAGGACCAAGAAGGGCCTTGTCATGGCCGACTCGCCACGCGCCCCTGCTCGCAACCAGACAATAGAAACAGGGAGGGGAGAGGCAAAGTATCGGAATGCAAGGTTGGCTTGCGAGAGAGTTGAGGAATTCAAGTGAGCCAGAAGCAGCCCGGGACAGTCCCAACACCC